ATTCAAATCCTGATCGTGATCATACAATTGCATCTACATTGATCAGGCAAAAGCAAATCTACTTCTACATCGAATTCAGACGATTGAAGAACAGAATTAAAAGCGATCACCATTTGAAAGGGTTGGAGCATTCGAGGAGTGTTGTCTGATTTACCTGCTACTCTTCTATAAAGATCAAGCATAAGCCTGGGGTCAAGTTACTATTGGATGGGGAGTTGCAAAGCCAGAGGATTGTCAGCAATTGGTGTTTGGTAGAATGATAGCATGTGAGCCAGAGTCAAAGTTCAGTATACTTTGTTTCAAAGATAGGTTTACTTTGGATTGCAGAGTCCGCGAGATTTTTCCCACACAAACAGTTGATGTTTTATTAACTGGGGTTTCCTCGCTAAAATCCTGGTGTCATCTCTAACTTTTACTTTGACTTATTCTATCTGCATGTGATTAATTGTTTAATTACTAAAATAAAGAAACTTAGAAAAACATAAGATTTGTTTTCAAAATAATCAAAACTTTCTAAAACATTCCATTGTGTACAACTCACAGCATTTTCCGATCATGCCGCTCTTAGGCATCTCTTGATGAAAAATGAAACCAAACCGCTCTTAATAAGGTGGATTCTTTTCCTCCAAGAATTTGACTTTGAAAATGAGGATAAGAATTAAAGGCTCCGACAATGTCGTAGTCGACCACCTCTTTAGGTTAATGGTTGAATCTTCCCCTAGTCTTCTAATTCGTGATTCCTTCTTAGATGAGCAACTTTTTCACATTTCCAATGAAAAGTTGCCTTAGTTTGCTGACATTGTGAATTACCTTTCAATTGGAAAACTTCCCACTACTTAGTCAAGACAAGAAAATGATATTGATTTATATATATACAATGTGCCCCCTCTAAAAAAATTTTTTTGGCTCTATCCGTGGCTACGCTTCCGGTAAAAACGTTGCACCGAAAGCTTTAAATGTTGGTGGGACTGAACGGTGGCCATAGAAAGTTCAATTCAGATCAGACCAGCATAGATAAGAACACTTTGCTTGTTGCCATTTTGACCCACTGCACTTTGTCCTCTCCAACTTCGTCGATGAAGTTAAGTAGTCGTTGGCCATTAATAGAATAGTCACTAGTCACTACAATCGAAGAACACTTTTCTGGCCGCCGTTCAGACCGCTGCCTGTCGGTAAGAATAGATCACCACCATCATTCGTTCTCACTGCAGTTTAGTCACGCCATTCTAATGTCGAAACTGCGTTTCTCTTTAAGTTGCTGGTACAGTTCCTCTTTGCCGCTGCTAGACTCCTTGCTCGAAGTTTAGTTCGTCGCCAGCCTTGTCATAGTTCAATAGTGCCATTTTAGTCCACTACGGCCACCAAAAAATATGTGAAGAAAGAGAGGGGAGGTTTTGCAGAGGAGTGAAAAGGAAGGGTTGTAAGCAGAGGAAGAGAGAGAGAGATTGTTGTACGCAAGTCGTTTCTTACCACATGGAAGTCAGTTTTTTGTCAGTATATACTTGTTATCAGAAATAACATTTTTCTATTTATAAATATATAGAAATGGAGCTGCAAGGTATTATTTTGTAGTGCAAATAAGGAGTACTCCCTAATTAAATGGAGTGCTAATTAAGGATGGTCACCCTTTTACCTTCCTTGTTGTAAATCAATCACAACAGCTGTAATTAATAGGTTATTCCTATTTGTATGGAACATTAAGAACCTAAATATTTTAAACTAAAATACTCTTTTAATAACATCATAACATCTCTCTAAATCGTTTGTATATTTGATATATATATGACTTACCAAACCAAATATTATTTTTCATACAATCCAATCTCTCTCTCCACCACCAAATAACCAAGATCTTCTTTTATAATTTAACAGTCTATAACTTCCCATTCCAATATTCAAGTTCTGTTTTTTGTAAAACTAATTGTACCTCATTGTTCCTTATCTTATTATTTAAACGCCTAGGAATATTGGAGTAGATTCTTTCTGGGTTCATCAACCCTACTGGTTACCATTTCTTCTTTTTTAAGCAATGTAACAAACAATTGACAAAAAAAAAAAAAAGTTAGGAAAGAATCTAATCACACAAGGTTAAAATAAAGGCAAAGAATCCATTCATATTAGTAATATATATATATATATATATATATATATATATATATATATATAGGACAATGCTCAGCTACTCACCAGTGAGTAACTTCACCTTACTCACTCATTATGTGTTTCAATAACAAAATAACCTTCATTTTTATTGGGTAATTACCCTTTCTCTTTTCTCTCCCTTTCATCGATTTCCAAACCCATGCCCTCCTCTCTCCACTGTTCTTCTTCCAAAATAACTTTTGTTTGATTACTGCTAGCTATCTTCTCATATAGGATTTAGAATGAGGCTTCAGCCTTTTGGTACATTGGTATTGTTGACTAACATGGATTGGGCATCATAGTTGTTAAGAAGCTGCACATACAACACAACCAAAATAGATTGACCCTCTAATGGACTAAGGCTGGCTATCTGGAGCAGCTTGTGTAATAAAAGAACCAACAAGGAAGACTGCTACAATTGATTCATTCTTCTCAAACTTGCTTCAACATTGACTTGATTAATGGCATGTCTTGATCAGCAGAACAAGCCCCTACCTAAGCCAGACATGTATGTGTTGGCATTCCTATCCGAGTCTACTTATCCCATTCATTGCTGAATCCTCTTTTGTGTTAGCAATTATTTTTATCGGGAGATGGACCAAAAGAAGGTCATCAAGCGGCGATTTACACGTCAAAAGAAAGTGCTACAAGAAGGCATGCATGGCAAAAAAGACCCTTTAATGCCTGCCCTCGAGTTCACCTTCTGTCATTTTTGCTAGGGTTTGTACCCCATTCAACTAAGAAATGGGTCTAATTTTCCCTATTTATTTGGGCTAGCAGCACCTTCGCCACTCAATTTTTTGTACTTTGTGCTCGGCTGCTGATTACTGGCTGCAGAGCTTGGTGAGATGGTATAATGATTTAATTTAATTAGCAGTGAGATTCTGCTCGTTCTACCGCATTTTAGGTTGTAGTTTTGGGCGACTTTTGGTGCTTTCGGTCCCTAATTTTAGGTTGTAATTTTATGGTAGTTTGCTGGTTTGAGGGTTTGATGGTTGCGGTTAATTGTTTTGTTTGGCAGTGGAAAGGTGTTGTGCTACAATGCTAGGTTCAGGTTCATGCTTCTGGTGTTCATTTTCTTGGTGCTTGATTGGTCTGTGTTGTTTGCTTGCCTTTCTCTGAGTCTTTTTTTTTTTTTTTTTTTTCTTTCAATATTGTGTTTTTCTTTATTTTGAGATGTTTCTTCCAAGGGCATGCCCTTTTGGCTTTCTGTACTATAATATTCATATCAATATATTTAATTTCTACTCTATCTAAGAAAAAAAAATGTGAATTTTCTCTATTCTATTCTGCTCTCAAATTCTGAACTCACTAGTGGTACACTTCACTTCATTTCAAGTCCTTATGAGTATTCAAGTTTAGTTTGGTGATTATTGTATTGAACCTATTACTTTTGCTGTTTGTTGCATTCATAAAATGTATTCATTACAATTGACCTAAAACTTTAAGATTATACCGATCATTAGAAACATTCAAACTGAGGATGGCCTGGGTCGGGTACGGCCCAGATCACTAGAAATGGGTTTGGAAAAACACAAGGTTCAACCAAATCATCACCGATCAGGCCTAGGGCCAGAAGATCAACCTGAAAGCCCAATCTTAGAGCAAAGGAAATGGACCCATATCTTAGATGAGCCAAAAGGATCGGCCCAGCATGAAGAGTTAGTTGGGAAGCTTCTAGTACAATTGTAAAGTTTATAAGTAGAGGGAAAAGAGAGGGAAAAACTATTTTGGAGAGGTGGAAGATATTTTAAAGTGTAATAACAAACTTTTCTTGAGAGAGAGCTTTTATTGCATCTTCAATGACGCCATCTGTAGGAAGCGAGATTGATTTGTAAGACTAAAGTTTGATTTTCTGGAAGTCCGATCCTGATCTAGAAGATTGAGTACTGTTTTGAAGAAATTGGATCTCAATTTGCAAAATTGTAGTTTGTTTTGAGCAAATTTGATCTTGATTGACAAGGACCAGAGCCGACGAGTTTTCGGTAGCAAAGATTTAGATCTAGCTGATGGAGATCGAGATTTGGCCATTCCGAGGCCAAATCTGGTGCGATCATATCGTTACGGTATGGATCTGGTTAAGATGTTCTTGGTTGATGACTCTGCTTCTCTCAGGAATGATGATACGAAATGAAAGTTCTTGTCCACAGGAGAATGAGCAACACTAGCTCGACAAATTGATGAGTATGATTAAAGTTCTAAGAAGAGAAAATGCGGAATTGAGAGCCGGAATGGAACGTCACGACGCTTCAGTAATTCCACGACTACCTCCGATTAGGGAAAGAGTTCCGCAACCAAACGTTGCTCACCAGTATGATCAAGAAGGAGGTGTTCGCCTAGATCTTCACCGCGATGAGATCAAGCCAAAGGATTTACTACCAAGTGTCCATCATATGGAAGATCGAGAAGGATCTATTCATTTGGATCTACATCGCGAGCGGATCAGGCGAGAAGAGGCTATAGAGATTGATCTGCACCACGAGAGGATCAGGCGAGAAGAAGCCATGGCGTTCAATCTGTATCAAGAACAGCTTAGGCGAGAGGAAACGATGGAGTTTGGTTACAACAAGGCTGCGACATTATGGCAAAGAGAATTGACAGAGGAAAGGTCGTTCAATCCGATCCACCGTCCATCAATGGAAACGTACGACTACAGAAGTTCAGATAAGAGATCTACAGAGCACAAGGTACTCCCATAGGAAAATGAAGCCCTCCATTCGTCAGCTCTGACTGTCGATTCACCATTTTCGGATGCGATCTTGAATGCTCCAAATCCAAGAAAGTTCTCCATGCTAGTTTTCACTTTGTTCGACAGAATGAGTGATCCGATCGAGCATGTCTATTATATTCAATTAAAAATGGCTCTAAATGTAGAGAATAATCCCCTGATGTGCAAGGTCTTTCCAACAAGCCTAACTGGACCGGCGCTCAACTGGTTCAAAAACTTGGCGAATGGCTCTATGGAAAGCTTCCGAAACTTATGCGATAGATTCGTTAGCCAGTACTATGGAAACGAGTGTCCAACCAAAGATATTTTGAGTTTGTTCACAATGAAGCAGTTAGAAGGTGAATGTTTCCTGGTTTTCCTCACCAGATTTAACTTAGTGAAGAGTATGGTGATAGAGTGTCATCCGTTCACGGCAGTTCAGGCATTCAAATTGGCCATGACCAGAGAGACTCTATTCCACACAAATTTGATGGTAAATACGCCGAAAACCATGGGCGAGCTGAATGAAAGAGCTGATGGTTTCGTGCATTTAGAAGAAGAAGAAGCCACCAACACAAGAAAAACATCCATGGTCGTAACAGAGGTGAAGACCAAAGAGAAAATCAGGCAAAAGCAAACCGTACCACAGCATCCGACCTCCTGGAAAGCAGAAAAGAGGGCTTGAGAGGACGAGTCAGTCACTCCACTCAAGGTCATCCTAGCGAGACTGTATCAAGAAAACGAAGATAAGTTCCATCCTCCCCTACCAATCAGACAGCCCCTTGAGCAAAGGGATCAATCTAAATATTGTGCTTTTCCTAGTGATTTTGGCCATCATACTAACAAATGTAGGAACTTGAGGAGGCAAGTGGAAATGCTAATAGCAAAGAGGGAGTTCGCTAGATACATCCAAGGGCTAGTAGTGGAGTAGAACTAACCGGTAGAGCAGGTGAAAAGAGCTCAGAAGCTGAACTACCAAAACGCTCACCCAGTTCGGATAATAAATGCAATTCATTGTCGACCTGAACTGACCGAAGGGACATAAGAGCTGCTCCGAATGTGTTTTTTTCAAGAACAAAACGATCCAGTTCAGATAAGGTTCAATAGAACAGACCTGTTGCGAGTCCAGATTCCTCATGGAGATCTCTTTGTCATTAGTTTGACAATGGTAGAATACTTGGTTCGAAGTGTTTTAATAGATCCAGGGAGCAGTGGGAACGTCATGGCAAGGGTAAAATTTGACTGGCTCGAGATTGAGCCAACGAAACTTAAACCTCCAGGAAACCCGCTGCTAGGATTTAATGGAAAGCGGGTGGAACCTATTGGCATGATCGAATTGCCAGTACGAGCTACTGAAAGAGATTTAATTGAAAGTTTGTGGTCATTGAGATCCACCCGTCCTATAATCTGTTGATGGGAATAGGATGGATCCATAGGGTTAAAGGTGTCCCATCGACTCTACATTAGGTGATGAGGTGTTTAAGCCCAGATGGGAGCAGGGTGATTAACATTCATGGGGACTAGGTCATAGCCAAGGAGTGTTATCCTATAACTTTAAAAGCGGCCGGGAAGGGAAAAGCTCCAGCTCGGTCTAGTAACCCAAAATAGCAATCACAGAAGCCTCCACCCAGGGAGATGGGGAGGAAAGTGAGCCTTTGGCTCTTACTGAAGAACCCTTTATTGATGTGCAGATTGACTCTTTGAGGCCAGACAGAACTACAAGAGTAGGGTTGGAAGAGAAATAGCAGCTGGTTGATTTCTTGTCTCAAAACGCAGATGTGTTTGCTTGGAGTCATTCGGATATACCAGGAATTGACCCTCCTGTATCTTACCATTCCATCAATGTGGATCCAAATGTTAAGCTAGTAAGACAAAAGCAGAGGAGGTTCATCCCATACACAATCAAATCATAGCTGATGAAGTTGACAGGCTACTAGAGGCAGGGTTCATCAGAGAGGTTCAGTACCCGTTGTGGAGGGAAAAAACCCCACCAGTCACAACGCACCACGTGGCGGCAAAAAGTAGCCCATAACCAAACTAAGATAACTAGAAGCCCACAATCAGTCAGGGGCCCACAGAAGAAGCCATATGCGTGAACCAGTTCTGCCCAATTAAGTGAAGAAAGTTTCATTTAACATAAAATTCGATTGGATAACCCAGTCTTAACAAAACCTAAATTTCCATAACGTTAGCCATAATAATGTATGCACGATCAGTAGGCATAATTACCCATGTTTGAGAATAAAAGCTAAGAAACTGCTCCATGTAAATCTCTAAGAAAAGCTTATAAATAGAGCCTAAATGAGAATGAAGAGGCATCGAATTCCCATCATTATTCTTCTTTTTAAAAATTATTTTGATTTCACTAATATTTTGTACATTTATTTTCTATTCATTTCTTTAAGTGCTCGGGTGTAAAAATTTGCACCTACACTTTGGCGTCGTCTGTGGGAATTCGATACAAAAATCCATTTTTCTACTACTTACGAGTGGCACTAATCCAGAATGCCAACAGGATCAGACATCGCATAGCCGCAACAACGGGAAGCCATGCAGAAAATACGTGAAGAGATGCAAGTGCAACTTGACGTCCTTCGACAAGCCAATGAAGCCAGTGCTGAATAGATCAATGCACTAAGACAAGCTCAGGAAGCTAACGTAGTGCAAATCAATACCTTGCGCGAGGAAAACAAAAGACTTTAGAGAAACGCTCGACGAAATGATCACTCGATTGACCTACCGCCCAAATGGTGCTCGATCAATCCACCGCCCGAATGGCGCCCGATTGACTTACCACCCGAACGGCGCCCAATCGACTTACCGCCTAAACAACCGAACGAAAATCCTCCTCTAGAGCCAGGCCCCGTAATCCCCAATAACCCTCTTCTCCAGCAGAGGGTCCCGTTGCAACAACCCAATGAAACATTGGAAGACGCCAACAATACAGCAAGCCAATCCTATATCATTGGAAACTCAAGCATGGGAGAACCCCAAACTACTAGGGTACACCCATCAGACGATACTGGTTCAGGCAGGAAGGAAGTGCGGATCCCAGTGGTTGATCAACCCTCCTCAGGAAGCGACTTTATCGCAAGGCTCCGAAAGGAAATGGATGAACAAATTAAGGGGCTGAAGGCCCAAACACCTAAGGACATGGCAAGGGAATTCACTGTGTCAATAGTGAAGACTCCTTTTACCAATGAGATAGAACGAGTTATGAGGCCCAGGAAATTCGTGATGCCAAAGTTCATCAAATTCAATGGAACTGGAGATCCTCTCCAGCATCAAAATCATTACACTCAGGAAATGACACTAGAGGCACACAATGATCTATTCATGTGCAAAATATTCCCACCCAGTCTGACAGCGGTGGTCCTGGATTGGTTCAAAAACCACCCATGGAAGTCAATTTCAAACTTCGAATCATTGTACGTGGCATTTCTAGCCTAGTATTGCGGAAACAAGAAATAGAAAAAAACCATCGCCTATCTTTTCACAATCCGACAGATAAAGGGGGAGAGCTTGCAAGCCTTCCTCACTCAATTTAATATAGAGTCCTCCGGCATCCTAGATTGCAACCAAGATACGGCCATAGAGGCATTTAGAATAGCCATGGTGCAAGGCTCACGTTTTCACTCCTCTCTGGTAAAGAAAACTCCAACTAACATGTCCGAGTTGAATTTATGAGCACAAAACTATATCAGACTCGAGGAAAATGAAGTAACCAGGCAGCAAAGGGCAACTCTGATCACTATAGAGAGCAAATCCAAAGAACGACCGAGCACATCAAGAGTCCATCGAGAACCTTCGAGCATCGAAGGAAGAGCCCCCGAGAAGAAATCTTGAACAGCCGAAAGGGTCACACCACTCAAAGTATTGTTGGCTAGACTGTACCAAGAGATTAAGGTGAGAAACATCTTCTAAATCCCACCTCCAATCTGAAAACCAATGGAGCAGAGGGACCAAAGTAAACACTGTGTGTTTCATAGTGATTTTAGCCATTTAACCAATGATTGCAGGAGGTTGAGAAGGCAAGTGGAGGAGTTAATTGCCAAAGGTGAATTGACAGACTATTTAATTAACCCAGGACAGCAGAGGCAGCATGATTGAACTTGGGTAACTCCAAAAGCTGCGACAGAAAATCATCCTATCTGAGTGATCAATACAATTCATGGTTGTCCAAAGGAGGATGAACAACCAGAGAATTCTTACAAGATATAGCTCAAACAAGACCATAAGTTACGAAAGATTGGTAAGATCAATGCTGTAGGCTGCAAACTTAACCCAACATAGGTTTCTTTTCAAGAGGAAGATCTCAAAAGGGTACAGCACCTACACGAAGACCCATTAGTGATCAGCCTGCTAGTAGCCAATTGCTTGGTCAGATGAGTACTGATCGACCCAGGCAGTAGTACAAACATTATAACAAGGTAGACTTTCGACTAGTTAAAGCTGGCCATAGATCAAATTTGCCCTAGACGGCAGAAGAGTGGAGCCCATAGGTGTAATCACACTATCAGTCACTGCGGCCAAAAGATCCCTGAAGGAGAATTTTGTGGTGGTGGATATTCATCCAACCTATAATTTGTTAATGGGCCGAGGGTGGATCCACTGCATAGAAGGAGTCCCATCAACTTTACATAAAGTTATGAGGTACGTTGGTCCGAATGGTAAACAAGTTATCGATATTTGGGGGGATCAAGTAACAGCAAAGGAATGCTGTCGTACAATAGTTTGCCCAAATGATAAGGGCAAACAAACACTAAAATAGCAATTATAGGGCTCTTCCTCTCCTAAGGAAAGGGAGGAACCAGAAGAGGAGTGCCTGACTGAAGAACCCCTAGAAGCCATGCAGATAGTCGCGGGGGATGACTATAAGCTAACCTTCATAGGGACACTCTAATCAGCCCAGGAGAAGGAGGAGCTGATAGAGATTTTAAGGTAAAATGCCAACATCTTTGCTTGGAATCACTGGGATAAGCCAGGAATTGACCCTCGGATAACCTGTCATAGCCTAAACGTGGACCCGAGTCATCACCTAGTGAAGCAGAAGCAGAGAAGATTTGCCCCCGAAAGAAGGAAAATCATTGCTGAAGAGGCCAACCGACTTTTAAAAGCAGGGTTTATCAGAGAAGTCCAGTATCCCCAATGGCTGTCAAATGTAGTGGCCGTCCAAAAGAAGAATGACAAATGTAGGGTATGCATCGACTTCACCAATCTAAACAAAGCTTGCCTGAAGGATAATTTCCCGCTTCCCAAAATCATTCAGATGGTAGATGCTACGACCGGGTATAAAAAATTAACTTTTCTTGATGCTTATTCAGGTTACAATCAGATCCTAATGAACCCTTCGGATGAAGAGAAGACTTCTTTCATTATCGAATGAGGGATGTACTGTTATAGGGTCATGACTTTCGGGTTGAAAAACAAGGGGGCTACTTATCAGCGGATAATCAGCAAGATGTTCAAAAAGCAGATCGGCCGAATAGTTGAAGCTTACATAGACGATATGGTTATCAAAAGCAAGAGCAAGAGGGATCATCGGTAACACTTGCAAGATGTGTTTGATACTCTTAGAAACAGTAAAATGATGTTAAATCAAGTAAAGTGTTTATTTGGAGTATCCTTAGGCCAGTTCCTCGGTCACCTAGTAAACAAGAGGGGAATAGAGGCAAGTCCTACCCA